CTTCAATGGTTTCTCTTGCCTTTTCAGAGAACGGGCAGGGGATCCTCTCTCACCAAGGTGGCAGTTCCAAGGGAGGTGCTCTCATCCCTTCGCTGGTGGCGCTCTCCAACGCTCTCCAAAGGTTGTCTGTTCCTGGACCCTCGGTGGGTAACAGTGACCACCGATGCCAGCAATTTCGGCTGGGGAGCTCACTGCGGGACCCAGATTGCGCAGGGCACGTGGTCCAACGTGGAGGCTACCCGCAGCATCAATTGGCTGGAGCTGCGAGCAATTTACCTGGCGCTTCGAGCATTCCAACCTCTGGTGTCCGGCGAGCACGTGTTGATTCTCACCGACAACACCTCTGCCAAGGCGCACGTCAATCGCCAGGGCGGCACCAGGTCCTTTTCACTGATGCGGGAGGCAAAAAGACTAGGCCTTTGGGCGGAGAAACATCTGGCCTCCTTGAAGGCGGACCATATCTCGGGGGTCTCGAACATGACAGCAGACTGGTTGAGCCGCCAACAGGTGGACCATGGAGAATGGAGCTTGCATCCTCTCCTTTTCCAGGGGTTAACTGCTCGCTTCGGCTATCCGCAGGTAGATCTGTTTGCATCCCACCAGAACAACAAGTTACCTCGCTTCTTTTCCCGTTTTCCCTCCAATCAAGCGGAAGTGGTGGACGCCCTGTGCTCTCCTTGGCCACAGGGCCTACTTTACGCCTTTCCGCCTTTTCCCCTCATTCCGAGGGTAATTCGGAAACTACTGCTGGAACAGGCAGAGATCATCCTGGTGGCTCCACACTGGCCAAGGAGGTCGTGGTTTGCGGACCTCATGCATCTCTCTGTGTCCCCTCCTTGGAGGATTCCTTGTACTCCAGATTGCCTCAGCCAAGGGGCAATCCTACATCCGGACCCTCAGTGGCTTCAGATGACTGCCTGGCGGTTGAGTGGGAAGCTCTACAGCGGGACCTCATCCCTTCTGATATAATTCATACCATCCAGGCATCTCGGAGGTCATCTACCCAACGGATTTATTCGGCCACTTGGCGGTCTTTTACTTCTTGGTGTAAGACTCAGGGGTTTTCCCCCCTCCAGGCTTCCATCTTACAGGTCCTTCGTTTTCTACAGTCGGGTTTGGACAAAGGGCTGTCTCCAAACACTCTCCGGAGACATGTGGCTGCTATTTCCTCTATTTTGACATATAATTCGGTTCATTCGTTGTCCCAGCAGCCTCTGATCCGACGATTTCTCCATGGGGCAACCAACCTCTGTCCTCCCGTACTACATCGATATCCTTCCTGGGATCTCGCCCTGGTGCTGGATTCCCTTATGGAATCACCATACGAACCTCTTCCTTCTGTCAGGTTACGTCTGTTATCCGGCAAGGTAGCCTTCTTGGTGGCTATCACTTCAGCGCGCAGAATTTCCGAACTAGCAGCGCTCTCCACTAGGGAGGATTTATGCATTTTCCATGGGGATCGTGTGGTCCTCAGGTTGGATCCTACATTTGTGACTAAGATTAACTCTCCCTTTCATCGTTTGCAGGAACTGGTTCTGCCAGACTTCTATCCATGTCCTTCCAACCCATTGGAGAGCCGGTTACACACCCTGGATGTCCGCCGGGCGCTCGAACTCTACATCCAGAGGACTGCGGCTATTCGACGAACAGAATCACTCTTTGTTTCATTTCTACCGTCTTCTTTAGGTCAACGAGTTACTTCTTCCACGGTGGGGCGTTGGATCAGAACAACGATTGCGACTGCATACGAACTTCGGTCTTTGCCTCTTCCTTCCAATGTCACAGCCCATTCTACCAGGAGTGCGGCGACCACGGTGGCTTGGTCTTCGAACGCCTCTTTAGACGAGATCTGCAGGGTGGCGACTTGGACATCTCCTTCCCCGTTTATCAGACACTATAAACTGGATAAGTTCGCCTCTGCGGAGGCTGATTTTGGGAGGAGAGTGTTACACGGTGTTATAGCTCGGGAGGGGTCTTCTGCCCAGACTGTTCCCGCCCGTGAAATGGGACAGTGATCTTTGGTATGTCCCACGTCTGGCTGCTGTCTCCACCCTCAAGGGAGAAGGGGCGTTGGTCCTACCTAATACGCCCCTTCTCGTTGAGTGGAGACAGCAGCCAGCCCCACCCTGATTTCAGTCTGGTCATCCTGGTTCATTGTAATTTGAATTGTTGTTTTCTGTTTCTTCCTTTCCACACACCGAGTCTGGATTTTCCTTCGACAAAAGCTGGGAGCCCTGGCAACAGGGGGCGGATTTAAAGAATTCCAGACTCAGTCCAACCTCTGACCAATGAGCACAACCCACGTCTGGCTGCTGTCTCCACTCAACGAGAAGGGGCGTATCAGGTAGGACCAACGCCCCATCTCCAGTGGCTGCTTAAGGATAAACAGTCCATACGTACAGCGCAGGTAGCTAGATTTTGCGCAGCAGCACTGGAGAATTCATCGGAAACACGTGTCTAATCCAGCATAGCTATTTTATACAACAAATGTGGCACACCCTTTGCACTGCTTATTCCTTTGCATTTTAGTATTAAACTGACTACGGGCCTTACAGTATATAGATTGTTATTTTAGTATACTTAGGCCATGTGTAATTGACAGACTGGATTTTATCATAGATTTTATCTGTTATTTATTATTTTATTCTAGAATTTTTAATTGGATATTCACTGTGTTTTTATTTGTTCTGATCTCTAGTCTATGACTGTAATAAACTGAATTAATTAATTGACATATTTTGTCATGATAAAGATGTCTGATTGTTTTAAATTCTGATGAAGAATGTCACAACATTCTTAATGGTATTGCTTGCTCTGAATTAATCTACAGTATTTTAAATCAGTCTAAATAGCTAACTCATTGTATATATCTTTCATACATATGCATTGATGCATATTTATATTCATCTACAGTATACTGTACACAAATATAGAATATGCACACATACCTTAGATCTATATATACCTGTGTATATATACCTATATATTTGTATACACTGCTGAAGCAGACAGGTACCTTCTCGATTTATTTTATACAGTATATTATAATTCCATATAAATGAAATAGGCCACAAACCTGCAAGTATTTAGTTTTCTTTTTGTTTCTAAAATATATTTGCAGTTACAACAGCAAGAAAGCAAGTAGTGAAAGTGAACTGGTAAACGTATACTGTTTAACCTCTTTGAATGGAGAAATAGCACTGCTGGAAATCCCTCTAAAATACAGCTGCAAATCCTTTACAAGCATTTACTTAGAGATTTAGAGACAGTGTAGATAAATGTAGATCATGAAATATTTAGATTGGGCACTTATTTTATATTTGTTTTTGATAGTGATAATTCCTTTTTAATTTTTATTATATGTTAATTATTATGTTAGTAATCAAAATGTGCATACTCCCCATTTACACAGGGAGCATTTCTAGAATGTTTGTCTACTTGGTTGAATGAAACTGACAAAATGTGACAACTATTGCAATCAGTTGAGGATAAAAATAAATGAGCCTGTTCAATAGAACAAACTACCTCTGTTCTATGCTTCTGGAGTGATCAAGTGATGACAGGAAAGTAATAGGTGAGATAATAATAATAGGTGTGATTTAAGAAGTTTCAATGTATTGTTAAATATCTGAGGTGAATGGAAAAATAAAACTATTTTAAAACATTTTAAGGAAATAAATATGGTAAATTTATAAATTGGCAATGAACAAATCTTTTCATTGCCCAACTAGGTAACATCATTAGTGCTAGTGAGTGTGGGATTTGCTCCCTCTTTATATGCAGCAGTTTTCCCTGTCACTGTTGATGGGGATGTAGTTTTTTCCTGATAGTTTCTTGATTAAGGTTTTGTTTTTTGTTTGATTGTTTGTTTAATCCCTGCTTATCTGGTTGAAACAGGTGGAGAGGATGTTTTTCAGTCTTTTACAATTTTTTTAATTATATTTTTTGAATGGTCTGGAAATGTGGTTTATCTCCATTTGTCTATTGATAGCTGATACTGAAAATCTCTCTGAAGGGGACACAGGAACCATTGAGGATCTAAATTCACATTTATAAATACCTGCAGACAATAAAAGCACCTTTCAAAATCCAATTTCATTTTGTGTTCTGTGGTATCATTATGAAGTCTCTAAAGTCAACTCATCCTCTTGAGGCTTAGCCTTGTTGAAGAGTTTTTCTATTTTGTAGCATGTTCCTGATGCCTTTTTCTTATGATATGGCTGCATCAATCACATCATCACAGTAGTATAGTGTTATTCCACAATGAATGGAATAGCCTGCCTGCACTCAATACACTTTGAACAAAGATCAGAGAGAAATAAGCCTCTCTTCCAAAACTTTAGAGTGGATTGAAAAAAATGAAATGGCTTCATAATGTTTGGCAGAGCATTTATTAAGAGTTTAAACAAGTTTAGGATTCAGTGGTGGGTTGCTGCCGGTTCACACCGCAATGTGCTCATGCGCTGCACGCATGAGTGAACCAGTAGCGATGGGATTTGGAATCCACCCTGCTAGGATTGGTCTGTATTAGAACTTAAACTACTGAAATATCATCAAATATAGTCTTCATGTTTCCAGTCAATGGTGCTTTATATTACATATGGAAAATTCTGGAATCAGGTTCATCTGTTCAGAGTCTACAGAGCTAGTCAATAAATTATTTATAAATATCAATTTTCCTACCTTTCTCTCTCAATACCTTTACCAGATGGAAATATTCACACCAGATGGCATGTATCTTAATACAGATCTCTTTTAGACTGCAATTCACTTGTTTATTTGTATCTGTGCTTTTCTGAGAATGAAATTGTGATATACCATGTCTAAATCTGTAAAAAAAAATATGAAAGGTATGTTTTTATTTTTTAGTAACATTTAGTTTTCTATGTATAACATGCTAAATCTACAAAGATCATTATTTTCTTTTGGCTTTGTTCTCACAGTATTTGCTAAGTCAAATGATTATACTCATCTACAAAGTAACATTTTTTATGAAACAGGTGCCACAAAAGTAATTCCACCTTAACACAGAAGAATGATCATCCTTTTCCAGTTGATGCTTTATCTGTGGCCAACCAACAGTGCTATAGATGAAAGACTTTCAAAGCCCAACATCATCTTGTTCATGGTTGATGACCTTGGCATTGGAGACTTGGGATGCTATGGAAATACAAGTCTAAGGTTTTATATCATTCTTAGTGATTAATCTGTGTTATTTATTTAAATAAATAATCTACAACATTCTCGTTATTTTGATTGATGCATGAAAGTGCGCACAAATATCTCTACTGCATGGTGGAATTGCTATGCTTAAAACTATACAACGTGAAAATCACAATAGCATAATCAACAAGTAGTTGATGTTGCTTTTTCTTTTTAATTTTAATATTTGAGAGAAAATAGATGTATCTATTACAAACTCAATTTATTAAAATGTGGTTTGTGAAATACATTACATATGTTACAAATACATGTTAAATGTATTAGAAATAAATTCATTGTGGTAAAAATGAAAAAAGGAATCTATTCAATTCATTATAATATTGCTGCGAAGAGAAAGAAAGAAAGAAAGAAAGAAAGAAAGAAAGAAAGAAAGAAAGAGAAAGAAAGAAAGAAAGAAAGAAAGAAAGAAAGATGATGTTTATATAGCCCTACAGAGCAAACAAAGTGCACAGTCACCATGGACCTTTACTGCTTAACTGTTTAACTGTAACAGGAAACTCAGAACAAAAAAACAGAGTAGATACATAGATTATACCTAGCAAATTTACAAACACTGCCATCTATTGAATACTTTTGTAGTTGCAAATTATACATTCTAACAATGTATTCCAACATCCCCACTCAACAACTACTCCTTATATTAATCTCATTTTGGATGTTAGTTCTATAAATCTATTTCTTGTACTTCTTGGCCTTCTTTTCCATCTTCTTGCTGTCCTGGCTATCCACAGAGCTGGCGCTGTTGCTGCAGCTTCAGACTTGACTCTCTGAGAGACTGGCACTAGAGCTGCTGGGGCTCTGACTCCAGCTGGGCTAGGGGACCAGGGCGATAGCTGCAGTCTCTTTTGGCTTCTCCTTCCCATCTCTGCGTTTTAATGCTACACAAGCAACAAAGAAGAGATGTTTCACTGGTATGCCTTTATTTCTTCTGGTGGCTCTGATTGAATTCTGACTGAAACCTCTTGTGGCCTGATTTCTTCTTTTACAGCATCTGGGTAGTCTGTTTTGACTTCTATTTCCATTTCATTTTGTTTCTTATCTTCATGTGACACTGGTGTGGAATTTCCCTCAGTTTCAGCGCTTGTGTTACTTCATGAAATTTTGAACACGCTGAAGTTTCATCAACAATTACATTTCTACTGATGGTTACCTTGTTTGTGGCTTGATGTAGAATTCTGTATCCCTTTTGAGATGTATTCACTGTATTCCACAAGTACATCTTCCTTTGTGCAAGTATCCAGTTTGCAAGTATCTTGTGCAAGATTTTGCTTTCAAAAATTTTTATATGCCTGAAATTTGGGAGTTTTCCATTCTACAATTGATATGGAGTTTTCTCAGTTGATTTTCCTGGTAGTCAATTTTGGAGATAGCATGCAGTAATAGTTGCATCCCTTCAGTATGTAGTTGGCATATCTTCCTCAAACAGCATGGTTCTTCCATTCTCACATAGAGTACTGTTCATTCTTCCTACAACTCCATGTTGTTCTGGATTGAATGGTACGGTGGTTTGAAATATGCCATGATTTCTGAGAATCTTTGTGTTCTCACCTGTATATTCAGTTCAATTGTCTGTGCAGCACTTGGCATTTTGCCAAATTTGTTGTTTAGTATGTTTACTTAAACTAGATACTATTCAAGTTTCTTTGGTACTTCACTTTTCTTCACAGATATAATGTAGTATTTCACTAATATCTGTGGTACTTCACAGATATAGTGTAGTATACCAGGAATAATCACCTATAAAACTGAGAAAATTCCTCTTCTGTTTTCATTGGACCTCAAAGATCTGGCTACATTAAGTCCAGAGGGATTTTTAGCTTTGCTTTTACTCCGCTTTGGAAAGGCTTTTCTTGTCATTTTTCCTTTTATACAGCTGGTGCATTTCATTAATTTTTATTCCACTTGCATAGTCATTCTCGGTTAATTTATTTATTATGTCAGGACTTCTATGTCCAAGTCATCTGTGCCATGTGTGAATACAGTTTGAATGTTTTTTTTCCCCCTTGGCTGTATTAATCATCTGATTGCAGTTCAACTGATATAGTTCATCTGTAATTTTAGCCTCTGCAAGTAAGATATCCACTTTTGTGACAACACAACTGTCCCCTTTGTCTTGTTTTGTGAGTTTCTTCACTGACAAAAGATTCGTTTCAAGAGCAGGGACATACATGACATTTTTCACAAGAGTTTTTCTTGTGACACTGTGAGAAATAGGACAGTAAAGGAAACCATCTCCTATTTCTTCTGATTCTATTATTTACCCAATAGTTGTGGTGATTTTTTCTGTTTTATTCTGGCCAAGGTGAATAAAGAAATTTATGTCATTTGTCATGTGACTCATAGCTCCTGAATTAACACACCAGGCTTGCAAAGATGAGGTGCAATTTTTGGATTGAAAAACATATCCATTATCTGAAACAAAATCAGTTTCTTCCTTCACATTTTTGGCCTTTTGTAGTTGATGCATTCTAGCTTTCCAGATTCTGAAATCTGCTTTTAAAGGACGCTTTTTCTTGCACACAAAGCATTCACATGTTTCTTGCTTTGTGTAACTGTTTTTATTTCTATTTTTCATCTTTAAAGCAGACTCTGTGACAGAAGCACCATCACTATTAATGCTTTCTGTTTTACGCTTATAATATGTTTATATTATAATTACGTTTATAATATATATGTTATCTATAAACTTGCCCATAACATATTCCAATGCATGTCCAGGTGATGAACTGACTGTACACTTTGTTCTGTAGTGTTATATATAAACAGAATTTCTAAGAGACAGATGGTAAGAAAGAAGAGAAAGAGAGAGAGAGAGAAAGAAAGAAAGAAAAAGAAAGAAAAGAAAGAAAGAAAGAAAGAAAGAAAGAAGGAAGGAAGAAGAAAGAAAGAAAGAAAGAAAGAAAGAAAGAAAGAAAGAAAGAAAGAAAGGATCTTTTTAGTGTGACTTATGGTGGCATTTTCAAGCAATAGGATTATATTTATAATAAATCTCAGAAATCAGCTCCTTATCCATAAATAAATGAGCTTCATATAGTTAAATAAATTTAAAAATAAAAGCAAAAACCTAGTATACAGTACAGTTGAAAAATAGATATGGCTGTAACTTCAAAATTGCTTGAAAGAAACTGTTAAATAATATAATGGTGAATCTGGCTTACTATTTAGAAGGACTGATTCTCCAGCAATGAAAACAAGAGTTTAAAAACTTTTAAAACATGTGACATATTTTAAGTCTTGGGGGGACGTATGTACCTTAAGATATCTTCAGTGTCTATAGAGATTCTCAGTCATCTAGATCATGGTTGTCCCAAAGATGCTTTTTCAAGAGGCACCTGGACTTTCTGGTTTTTCTTTGAATTCAGAAAGTCCAGCTGCTTCTTGAAAAAGCACCTTTGGGACTTAAGACATCTTCTGTATGTCTAGATATACTAGGTATGTACTGAACAACACATGTTTTGGCAATTAAGCAGTAAAAAATATGGATTGCTGATTTTATAAATATAGAAACCAAAATTTGGCTTCTTATGTAGAATCAAAAGTTAATAATCATGTTTGGCACAATACTTTAAACATCCCCTACTTGAATGCTCTTTGTATTGGAATCTGTGGTTCAGAACTCTTTTCAAATATTTTTTTTTTCAGATGATGTTAGATTTCAAATTTCATAATTTACTTTTCATCATCGTCAAATATTACAAGAATTGAATTCTAGCACAACTAGAAATCACTGTATTTACAAGTGTGATTTGAAACCCTATTCATTAAAAGTAAAATATTTCATGGAGTCATAATGCAAATAACAAAGTCTTCATGCTGTATTTTGGACATAGTGAACTTTTCCAGTTTTTAAAGGCAGCTCCATATAATCTAACCTGGAATTATATTTCCATTCATCTATCCATCCCACTTGTATATTGCATGATTCTCTTTCTGGCACTAATTATAATTATGTACATACCATATTCCTTTGTTTATGACGTATTTTCCCAGTATTACCCATGTTTTCCCCAAAATAAGACCCAGTCTTATATTTTTGGGGCTTCAAAATAAGCAGTAGGGCTTATTTTGGGGGGAGTCTTATTTTTCCCCCCATTTACTGGAGGCCCACTTCTGCTTGCTCATGGCAGCTCCACTATGAGGCAAGGGCGGGTGGAGCTGCCCCACAGCCAGGCCATCCATGTGCTGACACCTGCCTCAGCTCGTGGCGGCAGCTCTAGCATCCCCATCCAGCAAGACTCCACATGGCCACCAGCCAACTTCTTCAGCTTGTTTGCGGCCACAACGGAGCAGGCAAGCCCATAGGCGGTGGGACAGAATGAGCAGGTGGCTGCAGGAGGCTTGTCTTCATGTCTCTCAGTTTCCCAGTAGGCTGTGCAGTGCATTGGGATCGCCTGCCTTCTTCCTGAGCCTTTGCCTCCATCTGCTGCTGAGACCGCCACAAAAAGGTAGCCTCTCGCAGTTGCCTGCCCACTCCGGCCCACTGACTCTCAGCTTTCCCACATCCTGCACGATGCATCTGGATCATGTGCCTCCCCCTGCCTCTTTCTCCACCTGCTGCTTGGACAGGTAATCAACTCACCTGTGCCCGCAGGCTACAGCTGCTGCCGGACACTGTAGGCCCCCTTGCCCTTGCTGCCTCCAGTGCTGGCCATGCCTTCACCACTGATGATGACCTTAACTAAGGCTTATTTTTGGAGTAGGGCTTATATTAGGAGCATGCTAAAAAATCAGGCTAGGGCTTATTTTCAGAATAGGTCTTATTTTTTAGAAAAAAAGTTATATATAATATAACTTTCCAAATCTCCAGAATTTAATCACAGATTAAAATAGTGCTGGGAAATTTGCTATATGAGTATATGACCAATAGATGTTTAAAAATATGTATTACTTCAGTAGTTTCTGCTTCTAATGCAGACACACATCTACAAGTACCTATATTAACCCAATGAGCTTTAAAATAAATCCACAGGGTTTTAATTTGCTAATTAAAATAAACAATATCTAAGGTTTCCATATTAGGCAGAGTTTAAAAGTCTTATAGACAACCTGTGTTAGCCTGGGCTTAGGCTATGCATCCAGGTCATACTTAATTCTAAATGCAGCCTATTCGGTCTACATATGGTTGATCTTGAATAATTTGTTTAAACATTAATTTATTTAAAAAATTAATGCTGTAATATAATATAGTTACCTTGATTATGACCAGTTTGAACTAATTTATTCCAACAGATATTATATTGTCATATTTTGATTTGCAATATTTATTTAGTATTTGGTTCAGTTGAGAATTTTTTTTCTTCTTGCATAAAGTTTTACATATAAAGGAACTAAAAAGTTTAAAGAATATAAGATCAGAAAATATAAGATTTATTATTTATTTATTTATTAGTCCAATTTATATGCCGCCCTTCTCTGTAGACTTAGGGCGGCTTATAATGCATTATAGCAATAGCCTGCATACTTTTTTGTATATACCTGCTTATTAGGGCTTTCAGCCCCCCCAAGCGATGTTGTTCTACACAAAGTTGGCTTATTGCCCCCACAATCCAGGTCCTCAATTTACCTACCTCGAAAGGATGGAAGGCTCAGTCAACCTTGAGCCTGGTGAGATTCGAACTTGCACTAATTGCAGGCAGCTGACAGCTAAGTGCTAGCACGTAACAGCACTTTAGTCCGCTGCACTACCGAGGCTCTTACAAGATCACATGAAAGGACCTAGTTTTTAAAAAACCATGGAGCAGCATGCAAGTTGCAATAACTAGACTGTTATTATTTTCTTTAAAAAAAAAAAACTATTTTATTCATTTGGTATACATTGTTGTTGCATTTTCATGCTTTTTCATCCATGCTTTATTTTGCTTACTTATTAAAAGAGAATGTTTTCATAAATAAGGCTGAAAAGATGATCCATTTATCAATGTACTTGACCATTTTCAAATAAATAAACTGCTTTGATGTTTAATGTTATTCACATAAATAAAGTAAGAGAATGGGCGTTGGCTCTTACCTGATACGCCCCTTCTCTATCAGGCGGGCACAGCAGTCAGGATGGGAGGTGGTCCGGATGTGAGTTGTTTAGGACCAGGTCTGCAGAAAGAACGAAGCCCCGCCTCCTTGCCTTAGCTGTCAGTTTTGGGATGAGGACATAGTGGCAGACTGATGTGTCTAGAATGAAAGAATTAGAGAACATTAAAAGGAACCCCCCCTTAACCCCCTGGAACGGGGACGGCCCCGAAGGGTGGGGCTGACTGCCGTGCCCGCCTGATAGAGAAGGGGCGTATCAGGTAAGAGCCAACGCCCATTCTCCTAAGGCGGGAATGGCAGTCAGGATGGGACATACCAAAGTCCTATAGGGAGGGAGAGGGCCGGACCCGATCTTACGAGCCCTGATGAGCGCCCTGAAGAACTCTCCTGCCGAATGCTGCATCCACAGATGCATAAGTATCCAGGCGATAGTGCTGGATGAAGGCTATAGGGGAGGCCCACGTGGCCGCACGGCAAATCTCCTCCACGGAAGCTTGGGTGGACCAGGCTGCGGATGTAGAGGCACTCCTAGTGGAGTGCGCAGTGATGTTGCGAGGGATCGGAAGGGACTGCACGTCGTATGCCATCGAAATGCAGGCCCAGATCCATCTGCCCAAGGTGGAGGATGAGATTCTGGAACCCAAAGATTATGGGAAGAAGGGAACAAATAGTGTTTCCATACGTCTGAATGATTTGGTGCGGGCAATGTAGATTTTAATAGCCCGTCTGATGTCTAAGGTGTGCCAGCGTCTTTCTAAGCGATGTTGAGGATTCCAGAAATTTGGAAGTACTAACTCTTGGGATCTATAGAATACCAAGTTAACCTTCGGAACGAAGGAGGGGTCCAAGCGAAGGACGACCCTGTCCGGATAAAATATGCAGAGCTCTTTGCGAATCGACAATGAAGCAATCTCTGAGATCCGTCGAGCGGAGGTAACCGCCACTAGAAAGGCTACCTTCAATGATAGGAACCGGAGGGAGACTTCTCTCAAGGGCTCAAAGGGTGGAATCTCCAAAATCCTTATATCCAATATTAATTTCAAGTAATCCAAGGTAAAAAGCCAATTAACATGTTTCTTTTCCACCCAGAAAGGGAAATTTCTTTAATCCACGTCTCTGTTTAATCACTGCAGACTCCATGGCTATTTTGTAGCCATCCATCTCTATCTTCATTAGCTTCATTTTCTTTTAGAGGCATTAATTCTCAGGAATATCCATTTCTCCTCTCCACTCCAGTTAAAGGCACAGTCAAATTTCAGAAATTTATTAATACCAAATCATCCAGTTTAGGTTTACTGCAACGAAATTCAATTTGGGTCTTTTAGCCATTTTTTTTTCCTTTTCAATCTTTAAGCCCCGCAGTCCAATTTTGGGGTCTTATTTTCCAATAATTCCAAATAGGTAAGTTTGCCTGGGTTGGTGTCACTCACCCGGCTTCTTGATTTTTGCTCTTTCTTCATCTTCCTCCTCCAGCACAATCCTTGTTCCCGGTTGCCGCAGTTTCAGGGCAGGCCACCATGGCTGCTGTCCCACTGCCGCCGGCGTGAAGGAGAAGCCTCCGGCCCCGAGGAACCCGCCCATTCCTCTCGGCCGCCCAAGGCGTTCCTTCTTGTCCCCCTGTCCCTACAAGACAGGGGAGGTCCGCAGACCTATCGGCGGCAGCTTAGCAGAGGGGATTTGGCAGGGCTCAGCGGAGCTGAGGTGTGATAGTTGAGCCGATGGATTTGGCTGAAAAACGAGCGGCATTTAGTGTGGCGTCTGCTGAAAATTCCACCGCCGCCAAGATCTTATTGATGTCCTGGTGAGAGCGGACGTCAGTGGCGGGGATGCGGCCCTGCAACTGTTTCAACCACAGGATTGAAGCTCTATTAAAAAAGGAGGCCACAGAGGAAGCCTGTACAGACCAGGCTGATGCCTGATGGCCCTTAATAAGGGATCTTTCGGCCTTTCTGTCCTCCGGGCGCAGAGATTCCTCAGAAGGACCAGACAATGGGGAAGGTGAGTTGAGGGCTACTACTGGGGCATCCACAGTTGGAATTTGTAATAAAGTGGAATATTTGGTTGCCAGGTTGTAGAATCTCCTATCAAGGGAGTTTGGAACTGGGCCCGAACTTGGAAACTTCCATTGTCTCTGTAGTACGTCAGAGAACAATTTAGGCGCCGGAATTGTTTCCGTTAAAACCGAGGGCTCTTAAAATAATGCGGCCTTGGAATCAGAATTAATGGTAGCCTCTTTAGATTTGGGAGCTGGGTTCCCCAAGCCAGTGGTGGTCTGCGCCTTAAATAATAAGGACCTGAACATTTGAGGGTGAAACAGGCCAACAAAGGAGGACTGATCAGGTTCTAGACCTTCGTCCTCCAACAAATCCTGGTCAATTATGGCCTCCTCCTCCTCCCCCGAAAGAGATTGGCTGTCCTGGGAAGGAGAAACCGCCCGGTCCTGGTTCTGAGAAGGCTCCGCTAAGGGCTGAGACCGAACAGAAAGGGCCTGATCCTGGAGATATTCCGAAACCCGGGAGGAAGCCCTCTCCTGTAGGCCTTGGGCAATGCCCTGCCTAATGGAGTCTGCAATTAATTGTGCCAATGCGGGGGAAAGAGAGTGGTTTGGATCCGATGGAGCTGGTGCCAAGGGAACTACTGGCACCTGATTCTGTGGTCCTGCCCCCTGAAGGGGTTGCCCTGCCGACAAGACACTGACCAGAGCACCCTGGGAGGCCGGAAAAACTGTGGCTGCATCGGGAAGTAAGGCATTATCCTCCTGTAGAGAAGTGTCAGGAGACAGAGGGGGTATAATCGCTGATTGAGGAGAAACATTAGAAATAGATAAGGCAGTTGGTTGTAAGTCAGCCGAGGAAGCCTTGAGGCAGAAATTCTGGTATCTCCTCTGGAGATAGGAACGGCCTTATTGAAGGCTCGCTCCATTGCCTTATGTCTCCGTCCCTCACCTTTCGTAAATTTAGCAGAAGAAGAGGATTGCTTTTCTGATGGCTTAGAGGGGTTCTCAATCCTAGGCTTTTTGTTGCCTTGTGATCTAGACGTCCCCTCTCCAGGATCGGACTCCTGGGTCGTCTTTTCCTTGGAACCCTTGGATCGGGAAGCCTTATTAGAAATGGCGTCCGCCATTTTGTGGAGCCCTTAAAATGGCCGCCGCCCCTTCAACTGACACAGGGCCGATCCCAAGAACGCTGCCACACACTTATCTTAAAACTGCAGTTCAGGAAAAGTAGGCAGAGTTCAGGCGCCGCTCTCCTTAGTTGCTCCGAGGGCGAAAGGACGATCACTAGGAGAATAGCGTGGGCGGGAGCTTAAAACGGCACGGAATGAGCGTCGTGCCTCGCAGCTGCAGGGCAAGCCCGAGTCGCAGCTGACGGTCGGAGAAGATAGAAAGAACCTACGACGGGTGCGGCAGAGTAGGCTCGTGCGCCGAAGGGACTGCCGGCCAGCAGCCCCACCGTCTAGCGGTCTTCAGCGGAGGCAGGCAAAAAAAGGGCCGATCATGCTGGAATCGCTGATTTCGAAAAAGAACGGAAGGCAAAAGTACCAGCTGAGATACAGAGACTCTGGACACGTGTGTCCTACTCGACCGAGTCGAAAAACTGATAGCTAAGGCAAGGAGGCAGGGCTTCGTTCTTTCTGCAGGCTCGGTCCTAAACAACTCACATCCGGGCCACCTCCCATCCTGACTGCCGTTCCCGCCTTAGGAGAAAATATTCTATTAAGCTCTCTGAATATATGTTTTTTTTCTCTTCAGTTTGTATTTGATAGGATAGTAGCAGAAATAGAAGAATGTTTTTAAGTAGCCTGAATTCAAACTTTATGTACTGACAATGCACATGTTTTTCTTCCAGAACTCCCAATATTGACAATTTAGCTAAAGGAGGCATAAAACTAACTCATCATGTAGCAGCTTCCCCATTATGTACACCAAGTAGGGCAGCATTCTTGACAGGCCGATATCCTATCAGATCAGGTAACTAAATTGTTTATATGTTTACTTTTAAATATGAAAAAAAGATTGTATTGTTTTAATTTACAATTACTGTGTGAGTGTGGACTCTTCAAAGAAAATACACTGTATGTTATATTTATCACTTACAGTATTTAGTGAGATTGCTGACTCCAGTAATTATTATATGAGACAGGTGCTCTATTCTGCATCTGAAAGTTTTGGAACCAAAGGAGTGTGAACCAGACACTTCCTTTAATGTGTTGATTTTACAAGACTGAATATTTCTCTTTGTGGGAATATACATATACAGTACATGCACCACTTCTACTAGAAAGTACAACACTTTTGTAACACTTCATTCAGAAAAAGCTGGGCAACAGAGTAACAGAGGTCTTCTAGTTCAACCCTCTGTTCAAGCAGGAGACCCTATACCATTTCAGACAAATGGCTGTCCAATCTTTTCTTAAAAACTTCCAGTGATGGAGCACCCTCCCCCAAGCCGTTCCACTGATTAATTGTTCTGACTGACAGAAAATTTCTCCTTGTTCCTAGGTTGGTTATCTCCTTTATTAGTTTTCACCCATTGCTTCTTATTCTGCCTTTTTCTTTGTGGCAGCCCCTCAAATATTAGAGCACTGCCATCATGTCACGCCTAGCCCTTTTTTTCATTAGACTAAAATACCCAATTCCTGCAACTGTTCTTCATATGTTTTAACCTCCAGTCCCCTAATCATCTTATGTGCCCATATTCTAGATTCTCAGCATCTTTTTATATCATGGCAACCAAAACTGGATACAACATTTCAAGTGTGGTCTTACCAAGGCATTATAAGGCAGTACTAACACACAATGTGAACTTGATTCTGTCCCTCTGTAAATGCAGCCTAGGACCGTGTCGGCTCTTTTGGTAGCTGCAGCACACTGCTGGCTCATATTTAAGTAGTTGTCAACTAAAATTCCTAGATCTCTCTTGCAGTTACTGCTATTAAGCCAGGTACCACCTATTTTATATCTGTGCATTTGGAGTTTTTTTGCCTAAGTGCCAAACTTTACTTTTATCACCATTGAATTTAATTTTATTAGATAGGGCACCATGTTCAAGTCTGTCTAGATCTTTCTGGATCTTAAGCCTATCTTCTGGGCTGTTGTCTATTCCTGCCAGCTTGATATTGTCTGCAAATTGGATTGGTTCCCTTCTATCCTCTCATCTAAATCATTGATGAAGATGTTGAAGAGTACTGGGCCTAAGACAGAACCCTGATACCCTGTTTCATATTTCTCTCCATGTAAAATGTAGTTCTATTGAAGACTAAATGTTGAGTGCAGTTTGTCAGCCACTTACGAATCCATCTGGTTAGTGATGCAGTCTATCCCATATTTAACTATCTTACCAAAAAATAGTTTATAGGCCTGCAAACTGACAAAGAGAAAGCCTACATTAATGCAACAGGGATTGATTGTTTATGTGCCATCAAGTTATTTTTTATTCCTAACAACCACATAGATAGATTTTCTCCAAGATCATCTATTCCTAATCTGTTGTTTCAGTTTTTCCAACAGTGCACTGGTTGCCACTTTCACTGAGTTCATCCACCTTGCTGTTGGTCGTCCTCTTTTTCTCTTTCCTTACAAACAATTTAGAGAGGGGTACCTTATTTTGCACTAATGCTCTTTACAAAACATCTCTTTTGAATGTTTTGCTCTTTTCTATGTGGAAGATGGAAAAAAAAATATGTGTTTAGGTAAGATCCCATTTTTTTTCTCACAGATAATGATGATTTCATTTCAATTGCAGTTGCATGAAAAAGCTAACCCCATTCCCAAACAAATTGTATATTTCAGTAAATCCCTACATGAATAGAGTCCCTAAATTTAAAGCTTTAAATTATAATTGATCAGAAACAATTGTTTTATTTTTTTAAAAAAAATAATTTTTATTGAGTATTTTACTTTTTAAAACCAAACACACAATAGCAAAACAAGTCAAGAGACAAAAACAAAAAACAAAAACATATGCACACCAGACATTAAAATACAATACTAACAATAAATATATATTTTACAACTTTCTGCATCGACTTTGTCTTTACTCTTAGCTATTAGCCTTATTAATATCAGTAATCAAACAACAGACTTACAGATTTAGCAATCTTGACTAGTCACTTTGAGTTGGAGGGTAATCTATACATTGCCTAATACAAGCAACCCAATTGCACAAAAACAATTTTCATCAGAGTAGAAAGAACCTTAACAGAAAGATAATGAGAATAAATGCATCTCTAGGGCTTTTTTGAATGAATGGCATGACCAGCCTGTCACATCTCAGTGACAAAGAGTTCCCCAAATATGTTGCCACAGTTTATTGTCTTGGTCCACTAATCTGATGGATCTCAGAAACAGAAAAACAAAAGGATCAGCAGGACCAGCACTTAAAAGTAATTCATAACATAGCTGTTTCTATACAACATTCCCATTCATACAAGGGAAGGCAACTTTTCCTATATGAGGCTTTGATATAATGAGAAAAGTTGAGAAGTAGAATAAAAATTCTTAATTAAAATTAAGAATAAAGGCATTCAGAATATGATATTTTCAGGCTGTACCAAACATCAGGCCCCAAAAGCCAATCATAACTTTTTTTCCTTCAATGAAAATTTTACTGTGCTTGGGTATGTTCAAGGTTGAAAGTATTCTAAAATCCTTACTTTGCAGATTTACCCATCTTGCTGGCTATTTTTCTTCTTTTTAGATGTCCCACTGATTAGAAAAGGAGAGCTACATTGTTGCTTTTTTCAAAAGGTTAACAACAATAGTAAACATCTGGAGCAACACTTGAACATCATTGGCATTGACATAATCATGGTCAATTGCAAAAAAGCAGCTTTATTTGGAACAGCTTAAATACTGTGACAATGTCTTTAATGAATAAAATATTCTTTATTGTTAAGTGTGATTGAACGCACAAGGAATTTATCTCCAGTGCATAAGTTCCCATATATACAAACAACAAAGTAATATAATCATAAAATACTAATAATAGAAGATAATAGAAAAGATGAGAAGGATGTTATTAAATAATAAAATCTGTCTATCCCAGGTCTTTGGCAAGGAGTCAGTAAGTGTATGAAAATGCCACCTACTGTCTAAACATCTGGCTGGCTTTGTGGCTAATCATCATCATAATGGAATGGTGGTAAAAATATACATGTTAGCATGTTGTCCACTCCTATCAGGCTTTAATCACCTTTTTCCTGCCCATATCCTCTTTTTCAAATAGAGCTCATAATGCTATGGATCACAGAATCTGCTCCTCAATCACAAAATTGGTTATCAGGTTATCTGAGGGACTGTCTCTTGCTGGTCACATCTACCTGACCCATCAGCGGGGAGGCAGGGAATGCTGCAGGTCCCATCCCTGAGGGAGATACACCTGGTGGGACCCAGAAGAAGGGTGCCTCTCCATGGTGGCTCCCTCTCTCTGGAACATCATTTCCCCAGAGATTAGAATGGCCCCCACTCTAATTCTCTTCTGGAAGGCGCTGAAGACCTGGTTCTGCCAGTGGGCCTGGGGAACCCAGAGTGGGATAGAGCCTATTAAATGGCTCGTGTGACTGGCTGTCACTGGGGCAGGGGATGGGGGGGATTTTATTACATGAATTTATTTGATTTTTTATGAGTTTTACTGTTTTTTAAATGGGGTTTTTATATTCTGTAAACTGCCTTGAGTTGCCATGGGCAAATAGTTGCCATGGGCAATATAAATTTAATAAATAAATAAAAAGATGCTCAATCATTCTTTATAACAATACCTGGATATGGGTGAACTTCTTTTCTTCTCATCTTAATAAAAACAGCCAAGCTCCAGTATTATATCAATATGCCATCTATTTTTCATAGATAATCTGATAAAATGTTATTCTACTGTTACTTTATTTATATAAATATTCTCTTAATAAAAATGATTTCTTTTATATTCAAATGTTTAATTTTTTTAGGAATGGCAAGTCTGAATCGGCTTGGAGTCTTCTTATTTTCAGCCTCTTCAGGGGGTCTGCCTGCTGAAGAAATAACATTTGCAAAGCTTCTTCAACAGGAAGGCTATTCTACAGGTCTTATAGGTATGAGTGATCAATATAGATGCATGTTTTTCACTGTGTTTCAATTAAAAACTGTGTGTTTATCTTTAAATTGGTTTTCAAAATGATTTACTAGTTAACATTAGAATATTGGCAACATTCATACACACACACATAACAAAAAAAACTTGCAAATATAATATGTTCGTGAAAAGCTACAAAGATTCATAAAATAATGCAATTGTCTGATCTATTTTTTTAATTTTTCACCCAATTTATGGCTCACAATTTAAGTGACTATATGGTCCAGTATCATATAAAAAAGGCAATCTGTTAAGTCTGTAGGTGCCTTTAGTTAGTTAATGAGTTTCTGAGACCTGTGGTGAACATAAATATAGTATACATATGCCACATTAATAGCAAAATTTTTTGATCGCCTTTAATTCCATTCCAACTCATTTTAGCTCCTATTAGTCCACTATTAAGTAATATTTGCTTATCATAAGAAAAGTTGAGACAAAAGCAACTCCAGATTCATAATAAAGGCTAGACTGATCTTTTTACTTTTACAATAAGAATGCTTATTCACACATGCCCAAAATGTGCATCCAAATAGAAATGTATAGTGGCACATTTTTCAGAGAAAGTAAAAAAATAAATAAATTGTGAAATCAAGTGAAAAGGATTGTGGTTTTCTTAGATAAGACTCTTTAGTTGAAGACTATTTCAAAATTATATCCACCTAACAAGGGGTGTCAGGGATGAATATTCTCTATTTTATTTATTTGTTTGTTTAAGTAATGTATTAGAAACGGGGATATTTTTGCTCAGTTTCCACTTTTTTCTAGACTTTAAAACTGCTTTTCCTTTTCTCGCTTCTGTTGAAATACTTTTGTTTATAAATTATTCAAAATAATTTATTTACATATAGTTTATAATATGGAAACACAATAATATGTTTTGTATAAATTTTTGCATTAAAAAATGTAGGAAGCTGCTTTTTTCACATTGCATTACTTTATTCATGTAGATATTTTGGAAATATGATTTTGGTACCTTCATATTAAAATGTATTGTAAATATGTATTTTTACAATCTTTATTGAGGGCTAACATATGATCTGAAATCTATGTGCTTTTTTTCATCTAGGCAAATGGCATCTTGGTCTAAATTGTAACAGCAGTCATGATTTCTGCCACCATCCCTTAAATCATGGATTTGATCATTTCTATGGAATTCCTCTGAATAATATTAGAGACTGCAGGCCTGGGAATGGAAGTGTTTTCATCAAAGGATTTAAAATGCATATTTCCTCAACCCTTCAGATCACTGGAATTGCTCTAATAACTTTGGAAGTTATGTATTATATTGGCTTTTTCAGAATTCCACATAGAATGGTAGGCTACTTTTTTTTGTTGGTTGTTACATGGGTGGCAATCATATTCCTCTTCTTTAACAACTTTCGGCATCTAAATTGCTTCCTGATGAGAAATTACACTATTACCCAGCAACCATGGATTTATGAAAACCTAACCCAGAGATTTACAGAAGATGCCAAGCACTTTATAAGAAGGTAGGTATAGTTTAAGACATTGGAATATTACTCTGAACTTGGTATTTGTTTGTGAAAAAAATGAAAATACATACATTTATAGAACTGGGGATTTATAAGTTTCACTCATTTTTGGTAAATGATGCTGGTGCTTTGGAGCTAGCACTGTCTACATTATCTAAGGCCCTGTTCAATATAGCTTCAATTGTTGATAAATATGAATAATTGTTATAAACTATGTACAATTTTCAAGAGAATTTATATGATTCACTTAAACATAAAAAAGTCAATAAAATTCATTCACAATGTTGGCCAATTTTCAGCATTAACATGAAATGAGAATGTTTGAGGAAAAGCCAGGTTGAAATAGAAGAATAAAACTACAGAATCCATGCCACATAGAGACATGCATACCTGAAACTGAAACTGAAACGGAAACGGAATTTCTAGATATTTCTGTTATCTGTTATATTCTGAAATCATCCTGTTATCACATCTATGAGCACATTTTTTTTTTATTATAGGTGTTCAATATGATAGTCTACTACACCAACATACAAAGTCTATAGATGTAAATGCCTATATAACTGGGTGGGTTTCTCTGACGACAGGACCAGAAGCTATGGCATGTAGCCTTTAGTAGCTTTAATAACTTTAAGTTAACTTTCTATGATTGATGAAACAACTTCTGCTCAGATCCTTATGGACTTGCTATCGTTGCTGTGCTGAGTTCCTTTCCTGGATTTTTTGCTCTTGTTTTTCAACTCAGTTATGACTAAATCAGGATAAACTTCAAGTTCTGTTCTTCTTTAAAGCTTCAACTCTGAGTCTACTTAGAAAGATGAACACACAACCTGTTAGAATCAGACACAATGAAATTAACTAGCTGCATGTGGAATGTTATCAGATTTATATTTTGCTAACTAGCACCTCAAAATAAAGCTTGCTAAGTATTAACAGAATGAAGCATATAGGTAGTGATTTTCCTTGTTGGATCATTGCTAAGAAAGTTCTGAGATACATAGACAACTGTATTGTACAGAACAATTTATAAATCTATGAAATCAAGTGTTGACTAGTACCAAATCTCTAAGGTCTCAGGCAAAAACATTTGCCACTACCTAATTTTTTTGATATAAGAGGCCCTGAAGGCAGAATTTTACAACAGATGTATTCTATCACTGTGTTGACAATTAATCTAAAAAGTCTTGCTAATTCAGATTATTACTCTGGTGAGATGATTAACAACTACTGGGGAGAAGGTGAGAGAAATCACTATATCAAAAAAATAAAGTGATACATCAAATCCACACTGAACTTGGGTTGAGGTCTGACATACCATTCCTGAACTATGCAATCCCAAGAGGTGCTACTATCTTCTGGCTCTAAGAAATGTGCTCAATCTAATGGTCACGGATAACTCAGGAGTATGCTCAGCCTGCCGTTCATATTTCCAACATCACATCTTGTACAAGAAAACAATTCTTGTGTTTTACTAATAGAATTCAAGGCTGTGGGTCTTCAGAAAACTTTGCAGCTCTCATGAAATTGTTCAAGTCAGAGCGTTTTGTTTGCACTTCAGCTGAAGTTGAGTTTTTGTAGTCCAGAACTTTGGGGCTGGTGAAAAGCAATCTCACTACTTTCCAGAATTGCCCAAGGCCTGTTCCAGCCTTGCTGTATATTCTCACCTGAAATGATATTTAAAATATAATCTTTGATGGGTACCTGCAGCATATCTGATACCATCTATGCATTGGAGAAGGGAAAGAAATTATAACAGCTTATTCAGACAAGACTTTATATCATCCAGTTACATGAATAGTGAAAATTCAGTTTTATATCTTTCCTTTTTACGTCTGGAGAAAGAACATAGCAAACTGGACATGAGTAGAACAGTGTTCAGTATCTATATTGCATCCTATATTTATTCATGGTTAAATTAGTTACGCTTTAATAAATTAACCCAGCTATATTAATTTGCACAATCTAAATATGTGACTCATATCTCTACTACATATTTTATTACAAACTGGCCAACCAAATTTTAGTTTATTCTGTTATGTAAACACAGACTTTTTCTTCTTAGTGAGGAAAATTTGATTATGCCTGAAAATAAGTTTTTGTTTTCTATTGTCAATCCCAATTGCTAGATTTTTGTGTTTGGAAAACTAGTTATATTCTTTTAGTCTCATGGAAAGTAAAATACCTAACATTTTCTATTGCTGTTTACCAAATTTAAGATTCAGGAAAAGAAGTGTTTAAAGGTATTTAGCAATGTTTCTGTACAGGAAGCTAACCTTTACAATGATGATTATATGCAGCTTTAAAAGACAACCAAATTCTTTTTTTAAATGAGAAAAAACATTACCTTGTTCTTTTTCTTCCTACTTTCGGTATTTACATTTCAAGTCATTTTAAAATTTGTCCAGAGTACTTTAATGTTAATACCTAATTATAAAGGGTCAATTGTACCTACTCTTGATTCTGTAACAACAAAAACTCCTTTCAGGTTTACATAATATTATACAATTCCCATCACTGCCAATCCCATGAGCAACTTTCTCACAAGCCACTTGTCAGGCTTGTGATTGCTATAATCAGAATGAGTGATCGAGCCATTTTTCCTCTTCCTTGCACTCTTATTAATGTTCCATCCATGTGTTTACGATTTCATGCCCAGCTTGCTTCTTGCATTGGCACATTGACTCCATAGATTGTCTTGGGAATAAGTGTGTTGGCGCTTATTCTGAAGCAGAGCTTTGTCTGAGGGATGCAATTTCTGTTCCAGGCATAACACTGTCTAGTTCAAAGCTTTCTTTATCTGAAATTCAGAGTCCTCACCCATCTTTGCTCTGGGGACTTCAATTTTACTTTAGGACACACTCCTGAAGCTTTTTGCTATAGATGAAGGATTCTGGAAACATGACATGCATTGCTGCTTATTCATAGTCTTTTTTTTTTAAGTACCAGTAAAGACTAAGGAATAGCAAGTAGTAGCAGGAGCTTCACACCCCTCCTTCTTTTAAAGGAAGTTGTTAATGCAGTTCAGAGGAAAAAGAAAAAAGAACAGCACAGGAAATGATTTTATAGGCAGACAGTCAGTGACTAAAATCCTTCCCAAGGGGGGAAAAAAAGGCAATTAGTATAGTACTATACATGTTTCATACATCAGAAATGCACGGGCTATTTTTACATTTGTGAAGTTCCCCAGGCACTTCCACATATTGCTACCAACTTGTAATTTTTAATAGGACAGAAGGGGAATAAGAATTATTAATGTAGTGTATTACCTTGCAATATTTCATATTTGGCTGACTTGTGTCTCTCAGTCTTGTAAACTTAATTTTAATTAAATGACACTTTCAGAATATTAGAATTGATTGTCTGTACCTTTAAACATATATTTATATTAAGTGATGAAGCAACTTAAAGCAACTTATGTTAAAAGACTCTGCTTTTGGACTCCAAGCATTAGAAGAAAGAACATTCCTTACTTTGAATTATGATCTGTTAGGGTTATTAGAGATTTTTCATTCCTCTTAAGTAAGATACTCATGAAATAGTTTAAAATGAGTTATATCCTTTGTATTTAAATACAAAGGAACATTTTAGAGGGATAATTGGCCATCATCAAAGAAAAGGATGTGCATGTTTCATTGCCAAGTAAATGAATATAAATATATATGCAAACACAGAGTTTGCTTTATTGCTCTTTCAGTGAAAAACACTAAATTGTTAAGAAAGCAAGACCTGTTTGGATAAATTGCATAGAATGGAATGGTAGTAAAATTTTAGAGGAAATGAATTGCTTCAGTTAATAAAACAGGATCTTAACTGTTATTGTCAACTCTCCCTCCCTCTTAGAAGCTGATCTGCCATTCCATTTTCAAGATCACAGGAGTCACTCACTTTCTAACCCTCACCCAAATCTACAAGAAAATTTGATGAAAGAAAAATAATTATCTGTGATTTTATACTCTTAAGGATATTAATTGCTAGGATTCTTTATCTAAGCTTGCTGTCAATCAGGTGGACTTAAAAAGAAAATCCTCAAATAACATTATGCCCATGTGTATGAGCTATTTATTAGATATGTTCTGGGCAGTGGTGAGTTTCAAAACTTTTTCTACTGGTTCTGTGGGTGTGGCTTGGTGGGTGTGGCATAGCTTGGTCGGCGTGGCTTGGTGGGTATGGCAGGGGAAGGATACTGTAAAATCTCCATTCCCACCCCACTCCAGGGGAAGGATACTGTAAAATCTCCATTCCCTCCCCAATCCAGGGGAAGGTTACTGCAAAATCCCCATTTCCTCCTGATCAGCTGGGAATTGGAAGGCAGAGAATAGATGGGAGCGGGGCCAGTCAGAATTTTAACTACCGGTTCTCTGAACTACTCAAAATTTCTGCTACCAGTTCTCCAGAACTGGTCAGAACCTGCTGAAACCCACCTCTGGTTCTGGGACCAAAAATTCTTGTGTTGCAGTACATCCCTAATACTGCCCCAGGAACTGTCATCTCCTGAAAATAGACATTTTTAAGTGATGACTTCTATCTTCCTGTATTTATCATTGTAGCCCTATGTTCCCAGATATAGATAGATGATAGATAGATAGATAGTTAGATAATAGATAGATAGTGAGATACTGAGATACTGAGACACTGAGATAGAGAGATAGATATAACTCTTTTTAATCAATCTGCCTTAGTAATATTGTTATATTGTAATATTCAGGTACATATGTTCAGTTTTAGGCTGGAATTAAGATCTCTCTTTGATTCGTTACTATCTGGTACTTGAGTGAAGTAAGCATTTCCACTGCCAGACACAGCTTCCAGGAGAACTAAAAAGACAGAAATTTTCCTAAAGGATATATGCAGGAAGCATAAATACACTTGTGAATACTATTTTAAAACACACAGAATTAACAGAATAACAGAGTTGGAAGGGACTTTGAAGGTCTTCTAGTCCAATCCCTTGCTCAGGCAGGAAACACTATGCCATTTCAGACAAATGGTTGCCCAATCTATTTTTAAAAATTTCCAGTGTTGGAGCATTCACAGCTTGTGAATGAATAGAATAGAATAACAGGGTTGGAAGGGACCTTGGAGGTCTTCTAGTCCAATGAGGCAAATTGTTCCACTAATTAATTGTTCTAACTGTCAGTAAATTTCTCCTTAGTTCTAGTTTGCTTCTCTCCTTGATTAGTTTACGTCCATTGCTTCTTGTCCTGACTTCAGGTGCTTTGGAGAATAGCTTGCCTCCCTCCTCCTACCTCCTACCCAAGCTGAATGTAGTATTCCAAGTGTGCTCTTACCAAGGTATTATAAAGTGGTATTAACACTTCATGTGATCTTGATTCTGTCCCTTTGTTAATGCAGCCTAGGACTGCATTGGCTTATTTTGGCAGTTGTAGCACACTCCTGGTTCATATTTAAGTGATTGTCCACTAGGACTCCAAGATCCCTGTCACAGTTACTACTATTGAGCCAGGTACCACCGATACCAGTGATTCCCAACCTTTTTTTGGCAATGCCCCACCTAAGCATCTCTAAAATCCTGATACCCCCACACCCCCATGACATATAATTCTTACTATTCAAAAAGTGAATGCCTACTCACGCGGAGGAAGCCAAAGACCATTAACTTGGTTTAAACAAGGTTCCAAAGAACATGGCATCCATGAAAGAGAAAAATAAAAGAACGAAAGACAGTAGAAGTATTAAAGAACTTAAAAAATAAAAGTATGAAGGGAAATGAAAAACAGCAAATAAAGTTTCAAAACATATAATAGAGAACTGAAATGCATAAATATAATTTTAATGAAAGCTTTTTCTGTAATACTTTGATCATATTAATTACTATACATATTAAAATAAAGGTACCTAACAAATTCAAAATACAATTTGAGCTCACCTCAAGATCATATTTACCATACAATCCTATGCATGTCTACTCAGAAGTAAGTACCACTGTCTTCAAATGATGTAGGATTGCAGCTTTAGTCTACTTAAGTTAGTGAGATACTTGTGCTTGATGCTGCAGAGAGATTTTATATTAGGCTCCAATTTAGTCAGCTTCATTCTCAAGTCTCCTCGTTCAGTAATATCCAGTCAATTTCTTTTCTTCAGTAGCAAAGCCACATTCAGCTAAATATGAAGATGGGAACGGTAACAGCAGTTTTCTTGCAAAGTAGGTTGAATTTGGATATTTAGTTTCTGTCTCATCACAAAGCCATGCCATCACTCCTTTTATATTGAATAAAGTTTTAAGTGACTTATCATTTTGCATTTCCGAGAAAATGGTGCAGAAAGAGGGAAATTTAAAAAACATTCTTAGCTTAACTTATGAATAATAAGACTGTCATGAATGAAAGAGGGGTTGTAACCTATGACCGCCCTATTCGCCCATTCAGTTTGAACCTGCAGCTTAGTGGGGAAATGCTTTGGTAGTTCAGTAGGTGGAGGTGAATCACATAGGCATGACAAGGCCTATGCATGCGTGGCCCAGCCCCAGATTGCTCTGAGAGGAAAAGTCTTGTAAAACACGGCCTGGGAAAACACAGACTAAAAATAACTGTAAATCTAACAATTTCTTACTTAAACTTGGGTCCTGGTACTGTATCCTCACTTCCCCCAGCAGCCACCCACTCTTTCTCCCCACAGAGGAGCTCTCCCTGCAACCACCCAGCAGGAAAGCCCACAGTAAAGAGAGAGACTCTGCCAATTCCCATAACTTAGTGGGAACACATCTGATTGGCTGGCAGTTGCTCCCTCCTCCTCCCAGCTGGGATATCCTTTTCAGACCAGGCCCTAGGAAATGCACTTTAACAAAGACAACAATAGGTAAATGAAACACAGCTGTTTCATCACAAATATATAAGAACAATTAGCGGGCTTTCAAAAATTCAGTTAATCGCTCATTTTCAAATTGCCCTCATTAAAAATCAAATTGCCTTCCTGTGGGGCGTGGGCCCCATGTTGGGAACCACTGATCTATACTATACCTGTGCATTTAGTTTTTCTTGCCTCAGTGAAGAATCTTACTTTTTTCACCATTGAATTTTATTTTGTTAGATAGCACCGAATGTTCAAGTGTCTCAAGATCCTTCTGTATCTTAAGCCTATCTTCTGGAGTGTTGGCTGTTACTGCCAGCTTGGTGTCATCTGCAAATTTGATAAGTTCCCCATCTCTCCCCTCATCCAAATCATTGGATGAAGATGTTGAAGAGTACTGGGCCAAAGACAGCGCCTTGGGGTAGCCCACTGGTCTGTACTTTCCTGGATCCAGTTTTTTTCTTTTTTCTTTTTTTTTTTTTTTTGAAGATGGGGACCCTTTTCCAGTCCTCTGGTAATCAAGAAAAACCCATTGTCAAGGCTGACTTGCTCTGCACTTTTTTTTCCTTTTTCAAAGATGGGAACTACATCAGCTCTTTTCTAGTCCTCCGGTAGTTTCCTAGTGCTTCAGGATCATTGAAATATATAGTTCAGTGGTTCTGTGATCACATCTGCCAGTTCCTTCAGAACCTTGGGGTGCAATCCATCTGGTTCTGGTGATTTGAACTCATCTAGGGTGACAGGTGCACTCTTACTGTTTTTTTGCTGCTTTTAACTGGTATACTTAGTCTTTTTTTTTTTTACAGTACTGCTTTTGATAGGTTGGACTGTTTTTTCCTCTTGTGTAAAGACAGATGCAAGAAATGAATTAAGCAGTTCTACTTTCTCCTTGTTGCTCGTCACCTTCTTGCCATTTTCTTTCATTAATGGACCAATAGTTTCCTTGTCTTTTTTCTTGTTTTTTACATGTTGAAAGAAACTTTTTGTTGTGGTTGTTATTTTTGACTTTCGTCACAAGACTTAGTTCATTTTGAGCCTTAGGTTTCCTGACTTCATCTTTGTAGGCTCATGTTATTTGCTGATATTCTGCCTTAGTTATGTGCCCCTCTTTCCACTTTTTATACTTGTCCTTCTTGCCTTTCAATTTATCAGAGAGTTATTTGTCATCCTTGCTGGTTTCTTTTGAGAGCTGTTATTTTTCTTCTTCATTGGTATTGTGCTAGACTGGGCTTTCATAATCTCACTTTTCAAAATTTCTTAAGCTTCTTGGATTGTTTTCCCTTGAGAATTTTCATCCATGGAATCCTTTCCAAATTATCTCTAAGTTTACTTAAATTGGTTCTGTTAAAATCCAAGACTCTAATTTGACTTTGTTCTCTTGCTTGTGCTTGCATAATGTTGAATTCCAATGTTTCATGATCATTCCCCCACAAGGTTCCTGTAGCTTCAACATCTTCTATCATTTCATCTCTGTTATTGAGAATTAAGTCCAATATGGTTGATCCACTAGTTTTCTTCTTTACTTTTTATTATTCCTGTAGTAGTTTATTAATCCACTTTATGCCATCTTATTATACTATTATATTGTATGGGTCAGACTGTCCTTCATTGAGATAATAAAAATGTCCTAATGTATCCTTTTCATATTAAATTTCACTTTAAAATGTTGATAGATTTTGAGCACAACTTCTCTATTTTATTGCTTTGAAATAAATGGAAATAACAAGCATTCTAAGAACTTACTTAAATTGCCATCCTGATTTCTGTTTGGTAGGTTACCAAGATTTTCTCAATCTGGCAACCTCAGATTAACTGGTAAAATTCCTGAATGTTAGATTGGCTGGAAACATGTAAGATACTTCCAAAACATTTGAAGGAATTATTACTGTAGTAATAATGTAGTCCCGGTTGGACTACTGCAATGCTCTCTACATGGGGCTCCCCTTGAAGAGCATCTGGAGGCTCCAGCTGGTCCAAAATGCGGCCGCGGGGTGATTATGGGAGCGGCGGGACGCTCCCATGTAACACCTCTCCTGCGCGAGCTGCATGGCTCCCAGTGGTCTTCTGGGTGCGATTCAAAGTGTTGATTAACATCTTTAAAGCGCTCCATGGCTTAGGACCTGGGTACTTACGGGACCGCCTTCTGCTACTGAGAGCCTCCCACTGGCCAGTACGCTCCCACAGGGCGGGGCTTCTCGGGGTGCCGTCGGTCAGACAATGTCGACTGGTGACCTCCCGGGGGAGAGCCTTCTCTGTGGGGGCTCCTGCCCTCTGGAACGAGCTGCCCCCGGAGGTACGGAGGATCCCGGACTTGCGTACCTTCCGCCGCGCCCTGAAGACTTTGTTATTCCAGCAAGCCGGGCTAGCCTAATTTTAATGGTTTTAAATTTTAAATTGGATTTTAATGGGATGTTTTTAATTGTGGGCCAAAGTATTTAATCTGGTTTTAAATTGCTTTTAACTTTTATATTTATGTATTTGATCTTGGCTGTTCACCGCCCTGAGTCCTTTAGGAGAAGGGCGGTATATAAATATAATAAATAAATAAATAAATACTGAATAAATCATGTGATCAAGAAAGAATTTATATGAAAATGGTAATATATTATGCATTCCCTAGCATTCTGATTTATATTCTCTATTTCAGGAATATTGATAAACCATTTCTCCTATTCCTATCATACCCTCAAGTCCATACAGCTCTTTATGCATCACTAGCTTTTAGAGGAAAGAGCAAGCATGGCATATATGGGGATGCTGTGGAAGAAATGGACTGGAGTGTAGGTATGTATGTTGTCTGATCATTCAAAAGTGTTACCTGTCTTGGAATAATGATACAGGTAAGTCCTTGATTTACGACCATATTGAGCCCACAATTTATGTTGCTAAGTGAAAATTTTGTTAAGTGAGTTTTGCCCACTTTATAACTGTTCTTGCCACTTTTGTTAAGGGAATCACTGCAATTGTTAAGTTAGTAACATGGTTGTTAAGTGAATCTGGCTTCCCCATTGACTTTGCTTGTCAGAAGGTTACAAAAGGTGATCATATGACCCCGAGATACTGCAACCATCATAAATATGAGTCAGTTGCCAAGCATCTGAATTTTAATTACATGACCATGGATATGCTGCAATGGTCATTAGTGTGAAAAACAGTCTTAAGTCCCTTTTTTAGTATCGTTGTAACATTGAGCAGTCACTAAATGAACTGTTGTAAGTCGAAGAATACCTGTACTTTAGAAACTGAGCCTTATGCAGGGTTTATTTGGATATATAAAGATAAAAGTTATTATTTCAAATCAGTCTTTCAGGAATATATCTGATGAGATGCAGGTTTTTTTCTGAAAACTTAATCTTCGGTGCAATCTTAGGTAATTAGAAAATGATTGTTAAAGCAAGTGCGTGTTTTTCTTATTCTGAACTGAATTATGTTCTTAATTGATATTAATTATTTTGTAAAGCTATTTTAGAAAGTAACAAGAATTTATATTGCGGTAATAGAAAAAAAAACATTTGGACTAAAAGATAAAATTAAATGTAGCCATAAGGAAGAAGTGTTCACCACTATATGGCATGTGTTTAAACATTCAGAGTATATTATGACTTTCTGTCAAAATGATACTTGATGAAATGATTTTTCATTCCTCTTCACACAATGTGAGGAACATTGTATCAGCAGAGTATTAGGGCAATATATCATAGCTCATTAGTAAGAATAGGGAAAGAGACATGCAGTGGTGACAGTGTCATGTTATTTTTTTTAAAAAAAATCTAATCATGTTATTTATTTATTTAATCTATTTGTTGTCCTTCTTGAAATGAAATGACTCTGAGCAGCTTTCAGCATTCAAACATTAAAATCCTAACAAATAAATATCTCTAAAACAATAAAAATAGAAATCCCAATCAAGATAAAAGTATAGTTAAAAGATGGGCAGGCAGGGAACAGAATGCAGTGGGGAAAGTGGGATTACCTCTTAATTCATCAATCACATCCAAAGTGATGCTTTCCTTGTTACGTGTGCTGCTTCCCCCTGCAGAAGGTCAGAAGGGTGGGAGACAATTATATATCAGAAGGTAAGATGTTCCAAAGGACAGGAGCTACGGTAGAGAAGACCCTTCTCCTGGACCATGGGTCCTCAAACTACGGCCCGTGGGCCGCATGCGGCCTGCTGAAGCAATTAATCCGGCCCATGGAGCACCACCAGGTTGCCCCGCCCACCCTTCAGCAGAGCACAGGACTTACCTTCGGGAGCCCTGTGGGCTGGAACCGAAAGGTAAGCTCAACAATTTTGGCCTGCAGAATGCTTCTGGAGGTGGGGTGTATGTGAAAGGAGGCAAAAAACAGGGAAAAATAGCCCGTTTTTGCCTGGTTTTAGCCTGCAGAATGCTTGGGGGGAGGGGAGGAGAAAAAAAAAAAAAACAGGCAAAAACGGCCTGTTTTTCACCTTCCCCGCCTCAAGAAGATAGATAGATAGAGATAGACAGAGAGAGAGAGAGAGGAAGAGAGAAAAACAGAGGGAGAAAGAGAGAGAAAGAGAGAGGGAGGGAGGGAGAGAAGGAAAGAGGGAGAGGGAAAGAGAAAGAAAGAGGGAGAGAGAGAAAGAAAGAGAAAGAAAGACAGAGAAGAAAAAGAAAGAGAAGGAGAGAGAAAGAAAGAGAGAGAAAGAGGGGGAGAGAGAGAGGGGAAGAGAGAAGGAGAGAGAAAGCGAGAGAGAAAGAAAGAAGGGAGAGAGACAAAGAAAGAGGCAGACAGAGAGAGAGACAGAAAGAGAGAGAGAAAAAGAAAGAGGGGGAGAGAAGGAGAGAGAAAGAGAGAGGGAGAGAGACAAAGAAAGAGAGACAGACAATGGGTCCCGAAGCATGCCTGCTCTGCTGGCACAGGTTCTAATCGTGATCATAAATTTACTGTGTCTTATCCTATCCACTCTGCAACACAGGAGTGATCCAATTTCTTTTCCTCCAAAGAAAAAGCTATTGTATGTGGAAGGACATTGTCCTTTTTTCTTTTTTGGGAAGAGGTACTATAGAATTCATGGACATGAATAAGACATACATGGCTGAATCTGTGGGCGATAGGAAGACCGTGTAAGAAACACCCCTAGTACATTTCATGTGGCAACTTATAAATACAATAAAAGTAAAAAAAAAAAGTTTCAGTGAATATAGAACAACTTTTCCTTCTTCATGATCTGCTGAAATCATGAGATTGAAAAAATGTGAATACATAATTGAATACTTTTGAAACTGGCTTGACTAACATCATGTCAATGTGTATACCAGGTAACAGATTCTAATAAAGGGAGAGGACAACAAGGAAGTTAGATGATGTTGATTATATTACAACCTGGAATTTGAGCTGGTTTGTTATGCACAAACAAATGTTCTAAGATGTAAGTAGAAAACAATTTAAACCAGGATTTCCTCCCTCCACACATTTATTTTGTACTGGGTTTCAAACAAAATTCAAAGAAGCTGCTCCCTGCCATTTTGTAGCTTGTTTTATAATTCTGTTAGATCATAAATAGGGGCATCCTCTAAATTCCTCCACAGGTTTGAGAGAACCCTAGTTAACACTTTACCTGATTTTTAGGTGGGGGGAACTAGGGTGATGGGATTACTGAAGAACCTAAATTAATTTTTTTCGTGTCAGATACTCAGCTAGTATAAGAAAGACAGTGTTTGTGTATATGTGGAAACCTGACACCAAAACATGGAAAAAATATTCACCAGCATCTGCCTGTATCGGCAGGATTTAAATTCACTGTCAACTTCTGATAACAGTGTAATATAAAGGGAATTAGGTTTCTTTTAGATTGTTCCTATTAATTAATGGTAAGTATTAATAGTTTGAAGACAAATAAAACTGAGAAAGAAATTGCACAAAGAGCCTCACAAAGTGTCTTCTCTCAAAGTGTGCTAATTTATCAGGTTTTGCAAAATAGCGTATTATCGGTGGGAATATTGGAATGACTCTTCATTTCTAGAGGTAATCAACTGTGAAATCAAGTTGCACTTGAAACAATCAAGCTGAAATGCCATAGCAACATAAGATAATATTCCCTTTTCATTCCTTCTGCACATTAGCTTCCAATATATTTCTGATTTCTATCAAGCAAGGTACAACATTACTTTCAGTAAACAATATATATATATTAAAGTATCAAAAACTGATTTTCACCTCTGCAGCAGAAGCATGATGTGTAATTGAAAGAGAATGCTCTGATTGCAAACAGAGAGAGTTCAATTTCATTCACTTTCATTCATAAATTCACAATTTATGAATTTCAAGAGCAACAAGATCAAGGCAAAAGAGATTATTTAAGAAATATATGCATCTTCACTTCGAATTGCAAGATGGGCAGCAAATAAATTTGATAATAATTTTCATAGAAACAAGTCTTCTAAAATAGTTTTAAAAATGGAAAACAATTGTCAGTTCTGTGGCAATTCATAAATTTCCTTACAAGCTTGACTTATTGACTTTCAGAAATGGTTGTTTTAGCCAAGAAGTATTGCATCACCAATGCTAGTGCATTAGAAGCAGCATGGAGCCAACATAATAAACAGCATAATACCTATGTCATCTTTGTATCGAGATTGTAATTTGGAATAAAATTGGACAAAGTTTATTAGTATGAGGCACCAGAACATGAACTGGATAGCTATATCCAGTTTTAGCACAACTGCTACAGGGGCAGAAAATTCACTATACCCCACCTTTAGCCAATTGTATAATATTACCTTCCTGTTTGATCATATATCTGTGTGCCAGTCCAAGTCTTTACCAGCAGGTCTAGCACCAGCTAGGATTGTACTACCACATGAAGCATCATTGTTTTTCTCACTGAAGTGGTACCTATTTATCTACTTGCACATAGCAAGTCAAACTGAAGCCGAGGCAAATGATGAGCACCTATCCCCTCACACAGTGCTAGGATTTGAACTGCTGGAGTAGAGACCATCTCCAGCATCTTTAAGCCACCTTAGTCGCATATCATGTTAGACTTGTGTAAGTTTGGAAAATCCTGCTATCACCTCTTTTTACCTACTTTTCTACTCACTCCTTAAAAAGTGCATTCCCTGTTCCACAAAACAGGAACAATACCATAGCTTTGACGTATCAGTTTGCAGTACTTTTCAGTCAAAATAATTTTCATAGGTATTTTATAATCCTACTGGCAAATATTAAGCTGTTGTGATTTGTATGAATTCTTTTCATATATACTTTTTGCATGTGTTCTCAGATTCTACATTTGGATTAAGTAATGGCCATAAGACATATTAATTAATGATTATAATTAGCAACTTATTTGCAAAATATAAACATCACTTAGACCTATTTGTGGAGTCTCAAATCCAGGTGATGGTTGTCCCAAAGGATGTTTTCAAAGGCAACTAAACCTTCTTTGTTTTTTCCTTGAAAATGTTTTGCTTCTTATCAGAACTGAAGAAGTTATTTGGACGAGAAGCAAAATGTCTTTAAGTGGGGGGGGGCAGAATACCAAGGAAGTCCAGTTGCCTTTTGAAAAGCACCTTTGGATCATTTAGACCTGTTCTGCACAAAATACTTACATCCACATAAACTGGTTGGGATTCTACTCAACATTGAAACAGTGATGTAGTACTTCAAGAGTATTTTGCCATAAGATGTTTTGTCTTGCTTTTACTCCAATGATTCCTAGCTGATATAGTATTTCCTTCAAAAGCCTTGTTGAACTCAGAAAATAAATCCATCATTATGTCAGTACCTTTAAGTTTTCAGATGTTTATTTCTTTTTCTTG